CACATACTATTCACCCAGAAAAAGTTCGGTTGCGCTGGGAGCGCCTCTACATTCGATTAAGAGAGGAAGAAAACTCCGTTTAGTGGAGTTGCCCGTTCGACTCGGGGCTGAGCCATCAGTCCAATGAGGCGTCTTTTTCTTCTTCTGGAGGTTGACTTGGTTTTTCAGAGCGACGGGGAAGAAAGACAGTTTGATTACATTGGACGCGCGTTGGCAGAGCTCTGCGACGCGTAGTATGCTGGATTCTCTGAGCCTTGTATCCCTGACTTGCTGTTGGGAAAACCCCAGAACGACCGAAGATAGACCACATACCAACCACCCTGGAAAGGCTCAGTTGCGCTGGGAGCGCCTCTGCACAGGATTTTACAGCTTGAAAAATCGTTCAGTAGAATTCCCCGTTCGACTCGGGGCTGAACCGTTGATTCTGTTCGCGTGCGTTTTTCCCCGACGGCAGAGAACAGACGATCCAGATGAATCCAAGAAGATTGAAATTGCCAAAGTAACCAAAGTGGATGAATTTCCGAGGCCAGAAGTTGTCGTTTGGTCTTCAGTCGAAGTTATTCTATGCAAACCCCAAGAACGAATCATGAAGCTAAGCCGCGTACGACGCAGCCAGAGAAGGCCCGGTTGCGCTCGAGCGCCTCTACATACAATCGTAAACGACGAAACTCACGTCAGTAGAGTGGAGTCCCCCGTTCGACTCGGGGCTGAGCCATGCGTCGTCCTCGAAACAATTTTTTCTGCAGCGGGTCATTGGTGACGGACGAATTTTTTGAGCCGATGAGAAAGGTTCTGGATGGGTGGAGTGAGAATTCTGGATTGGAGCCCGGCAAGCTGCGCGTATACACTCCGAATAGAAGCCAGGCCTGAACTGAGCGGCGGGGAAGCTGAAAGTCAAAGCCAGCTGGGATAGCGCGGCCCCGGATGCACGCAGGAACGACGGAGCGAAGGAGTAGCGAAGGTTAGAGTTATGAGAGCATGGCTTGGGAGCGGGGAAAGGCCTAGAGCGGTCTGGGTGCGGAGCTAACGGCGGCCCGGCCCGAACTCAATGATTGACAGCGACGGGCGCTTGACCTCGTCATGCTTGGTCATCGCCAGTCTCGTCGACCTCAAGTATCCTCGACGACGGTACTCCTGCACGACGATGATCCGGCTCGACACCCTCCCGATCCCACATGAACCACATCATTCCCCCCACCGCGTTCGTTGCACCTCCTCCGACGCGCCGTACTAGTACTCGCTGCGGCGTTTTATCCTTGTTATACTCTGGCCCCTGGGAGTCCGGTTCACCTCGTCGAACGGCCATGGGGCGCCAGCGCTGGACAGGGCGTTGCATCTAGCTGGCTCTTAACAGAGGAAGGAAAAAAAAATCTCAAACGAGGAGTTTATTCAGGCGCCGGGAGTCGAACCCGGTCCTTCCACCCATTATCGTTTTCTGGGGCAAGGGAAGTGCGTGTGCACCGCGCACCACGCCCGAATTCCTTGCCCTCTCTTCACCCCGAACACCAGGCAATTTGTCTTCCCTGTGTTTATTGGTTTGTGAAGACGAGTGACTTTAGGACGCCCGCGCGGCTTCTAAGATGAGTGCAGAGAACAAGGTTGGATGGAATATATATCATAAGCAAACATGGACTGGTGGAAAATATTTTGTGGGCACTCGCAATCCCAGCGGTGCGCTGAAAAAATGCGGTCGGACGAAGATCTAGAGTCTTAATCGGGCGCTGGGAGTCGAACCCGGATCTCCCACTTATATTCTATCTTGAAACGGAAAGGGAAGTGGATGTGCGCCGCGCACCACGCCCGATTCTTTACTCCTTTCCCACCCTCAATACGAGACTTGGTCCTTTCATTGAACAAAATCGATGGTTTAATCTTTCCACCGGTACCCACTACGAGCGTGGGGTCAAGCCGCTAGCAAACGAAAGAATGAAGGAGGGACGGAAGAAAAAAAAACCTCAACCAAGATCTCGGCATTCGAACGCCAGGAGTCGAACCCGGATCTCCCACCTACTCTTTGCCAATCCTTCAGGTAAAGTGGGTGTGCGCCGCACACCACGCCCGAGCTATCATACTACTTCCTAGCCTGGATACGTAGCGCGATTTTATTCATGTTCAGCGGTCCAGGACGCCCGATTCCAGACCCTGTTGCTGTATGACACCTCCCTCCACCTCCAAGCCGCCTAAGCAAGAAAGGGTAAATAGGTAAATTGGTGGAAAAAAGTCACGTAAAAAACAGGGGATGAAAATTTAGATCTTCCCACCCAACGATCTTCCCACCCAACATTAATGTGCATTCCGCATGCGAACGTCGCTAGCAAACGCAAGAAAGAAGGAGGGACTGAAGGAAGAAAAAAGAGCTCGCGTCAAGAACGAATCGGGTACTGGGAGTCGAACCCGGGTCTCCCACTCACAGTCTCTCTTCTTCGTATTAATATTGGAGAGGAGCGTGCACCGCGCACTACGCCCGAATTCCTGGTTTACTTTATAACCTGAATGCATATGCTTTCTTTTTCGAACGATTACCCTCGGGCGGCGACGACAACGAGAATGAGAAAAGTACTAGTCAACCCGACCCCATTTGAATCGAGGCTACAGGAAACAAGAACATAATCGTGAATAAGGACATGAGTCGAACGAGGAATATGAAGCACAATAAATACACAACGGTAGACGGTAGACAGATACAAGAGTCGAACAAATACCTAAAAACCCAAAAGCCCAAAATGACGATTGAAAGAGATCAGAGGGGGACGGACGTTACGGATGAGAGATGAGATGAGATGAGAGCGATGGTGGAGATATGGACAGATGGACAGATAACAGACGAGGGATGGCATGTACAGCAGTGCGTGAAGGACGAGGAACAAGGAAAGGGTGCGACGTGTATGTATATATGCGCGTCGCGCGTCGGGTGAGTAAACGTGCCGAATGTGCCTGCGGTTAAGCAAGCAGGCGTGGTCGGTCCGATAAAATGCGCCGGATCCCAGGACACGGACCACACCCAAGCGAGGGGTTACAACATCACATGGCGCCCCGGCACCCGGCGCGGATAACAAGAGAAGGACAAGAAGAGAGGGGTCTGCGTGGTGTGGCGCCGATATGAAATGATCGAAGACGTGAAGGAGCGGGCGTGAGGCAAAGGAGCGGAATCGATTAGGCATCGTTTTGGTTTGTAGTGTGGGGCGGCGGTGGGGTGTGGGGATCGGCGCCGATCTGCGCCCCGTCGTCGTCGTAGTACGTCGTCGTAGTCGTAGTAGGTGGAGGATGACAAGTGGTAGTAGGTGAAAACGGGAAGCCACCCCTACGACGTGACCCCACCCGCCTACGACGTGAACCGCCTTACAGCCTGCGGGCGGCGCCACGCCTGCTCCCACTCGAGGAGCGCACGGGCAAAGCCGGGGTTGGGCTTGATGCAGGCGCGCTTGCGGCGGACGAAGGCGAGGGCGGCGTCGTAGGACATTGCGTGGTTGCGGATGAGGTAGGCGATTACGATCGAGGGGGAGCGGGAGACGCCCTGCGATGCGATGGGTTAGCATTTGTCGGATTTGAACAGAGGGAGAGGATGTGGGGGGGAGGAAGTGGGGATCGATGAGGAGGAGGGAGAAGGAGGGTAAACGCACCTGCTGACAATGCACCAACACGCCCTCGCCGCGCCTTAGCGCGCGCTCGATGTACACACACGCCGCCTCCAAGTGCGGACGCAGGTCCACGCTCTCCTTATCCCGTATATCGATGCTATACGCGACGAACCCGTCCTCCTTGTGCGCGGGGGGCGCCCACGGCGCCTCGAGCGCCTGCACGAGATGCGTGATCCCGTGCGCGCGCAGCAGCGGGTGGTCGTTCACCGCGCTCAGCGAGCCGAGGTACAGCGCGCCGCTCATGCCGTTCGCCCCATTACCAGTGGAGGGTCCTGAGGAGTAGGGCGCGTACGGCGAGGACGAGGAGGGGTGTGGGTGGGCGGGTGCGGACGGGGGGAGTGGCGCCGGGGGGAGGATCTGGTGCATGGGCGTGCACATCGCCTGCATGACCTCGGGCGGGAGATTGTCGAAGCGGATCATCGTCGCGGGACTCGGGTGACGGGGCAGCGGTCAGACGAGGCGTCGACGGAACAAGGCTTAAGGACAAGGGCTGAGGATGACAAAGCATGACGGTGGGGTCGGCGTCTGCTTTCAAGCGCCTGTCGCTGTCAATCATTGACTTCGGCCACCGCCCCAGACCGCTCCATGGCGCTCCAGGCCTTTCCCACCCACTCCCCAGCCAAGCTCTCACCACAACTCTAACCTTCGCTCCGTCGTTCTTGCGTACCCTCGGGGCCGCATTATCCCAGCTGCCTTGACGTTTTTGCCTCAACTGGCTCCGCACGGGTCAGGTTCAGGAACGATGCCGCCAACTCGCAGCTTCCATTCGGAGTGTAGCTTTGCCGGGCTCCAATCCAGAATTCTCACTCCACCCATCCAGAACCATTCTCATCGGCACCTTGCGCAACAAGAAAAGTTCACCTGGATTCCTCTTGGCCGACAAAAAAACAACGCAAATCAAACGCGAATATGAACGGCCTGGCCCCGAATCGAACGGGCATCTACTGAACAGTTGCTCCCCACATGGCTCCTGTGTTCAACTTGTACTGGATGCGGAGGCGCCCCAAGCACAACCAAGCCTTTTTTTGGTCGGTCTGTGGTGGATCTTGCTTGCTTCTGGGCTACTCTGGGCTCTACCGGGCGGGCAATGGTGAAACATCACTACCCTCGGGGCGCATTGAAAAAGTCTTGTATCAAGCACCAAAAAAGTTGACTTTCGAGAGGCCACGGCTAACGAGGTTGTCTGCTCAACATGGTGACAGGCTTCCGTCCTATCGTGCGCAAACGCGGTCCACCCGCTACCGAGCCATGCCTGTTCAAGTCAGAGGCAGCTTATCTTTCATTTCTGAACCTCAAATCCAACTGCGGGGACCTTGATCAGACTGCAAAACAAGAAAAAACTCATCTCTTGGATTACGATCATGGCTCGGCCCCGAGTCGAACGGGGTTGTCTGCTGAACATTGTGGCTAGCTTCTCTCCTATGGTGCGCAGACGCGCTCCATGCGCTACCGAGCCATTGCCCATGACCTTGTAGGCAAGTTATCTTTTGTCCTCTCAAGCAATCATCAACTGACGATAGTGGAACACCCCAGCACCAATTTCGTGCGCTCAGCTAAATACTAACCGCCGCTCTGGAATGGATTCACCTGTCGATCTCTCTCGCGCTCGGGCCTTCGGTGACGGCGAAGCACGCACATGCAGCAAAAGAAAACGCACTAAACTATTCACCGATGGCTCAGCCCCGAGTCGAACGGGCAACTCTACTCCACCGAACAGGAGTTCTTGCTATGGAGTATGATCATGCGTAGAGGCGCGCCGAGCGCAACCGAGCCTTTCCTGGGTGGCTGATACACGTCATATCTTCGTGCAATCTTGGTCGCGACTTGCCCGCCGGAACAGGAAAGACGAGCACGATTGACTGAACCCTCGTAAATCGCTCCTACTGCGCCTCTCGGGCCTCTGCTAGCGCGTACCAAATGGAAACCTCGATTCTGATTCTCTCGCGCTGGCGTCTCTCTGGAATATCAAGAAAGCGTCCCATCGTTCGCAGATGCGCTCCACGCGCTACCGAGTCAACATATCTGTCCTCTGTCCTGCCAAACAGCAAACGTTGTCAAAATGGACCACGTCAACATAAAGTTTTGTGCGCTCTGGAGCTACATAATGATCACCGCTCTTATAAGCTTAATTGGCATTGCCTCCGAACTCTCTTACGCTCGGCTCCTCCGTGATGACCAAGCACGCACAGCCAGCGAAAAATCGCATTGTAATCAACGACGAATGGCTCAGCCCCGAATCGAACGGGGTGGTACGCGGCTTACCTTCGTTCGTCTTGTGTCTAAAGCCCAAGGTGTTCGCTTTAGACACAAGTTCGCCCAGCCTTGAAAATTCATCTAGCTCCACTTCTTGGACGTGTGCATCCTCTTGGATCTAGCTGGGTCGTTTGTTCTCTGCCATTTACTTTTCCAAAAAAGCATCAAAAGGAGTCGATCTTTTCCGCAACAAGGCTCGGCCCCGAGTCGAACGGGGTTGTCAACCCATTGGGCGGGAATTGGTGAACCGTGCACAGACGCACTCCGCGCGCTACCGAGCCATTGCCAATGAACTCGTCGGCAACTTATCTTATGTCTTCCCACCACCAAACCTGGAAGACCTCAACACACAGCTGAAGCTACCAACTACCGCGCTTGAATGTCCTTGCCTCCGATTTCCCTGGCGCTGGGGGCTCTTCTGGGGTAGCAAAGCACGTATAAGGCAGCCAAAAAAACCTCATCGCACACTTCCTGAATGGTACAATGACTCCGCACCTAGTCAAATGGGTGGACAGTGCGGAGATTATTTTCCCACGAGAGACTCGACTTATTAACTGTGCAGAGGCGCGCCACTCGCTACCGAGCCATGCTTGGTCAATTTGTCGGCACCTTATCCTCGTTCCGTCTCAATCGTTTCTGAACCACAAATCCAGCGTCGGGGTTGTTTATCCCTCAAAATTGGTGTAATGTGTACATGTACCTCGGGCGGCGCGGCTCGGATTCTCCGCCAGCGCCTGAAAAGAAATACCCGATACATGTACAACTTTACGGCTCAGCCCCGAATCGAACGGGTGGAATCTGCCGATGATTTCCGCGTGAGCGAACTACATCCTGCGCAGATGCGCTCCGCGCGCTCCCGAGCCATGCGTGTTCAACTTATCCTCGTCCCTTTTTGAGTCTTTGGACCAAACATCCAGGACGCGGACCTTTGTCCTTCAAAAAAAATGTCTTATGTACCCGCTTGTGATCCCCGGAAAACAAACGACTTCCTCTGGCCGGCGCGCGCACCTCTGCTGCTCCCTTCGTGTCGGTACTTCCTCGAAACCCCTCTCTGCGCTTTCTTTTACTCGCGGCGCCGGTGGTCTTGCTCTCCGTTGGTCACAAAAATGCTCTCTGATCATGAGCTTGAACCCGAGTCAAACGGGTAGTTCTGCATCCCAGATCGTCACGCAAGACCAAACCATGATTGGTTGCAACTTCTCCTCGTTTGTTTCTGACATGCTCCACAGCTTACGTTGAGAGAATAATCCAACCGATCTTTGGTCTTTGCCTTGGCTTTGTTAAGGAAACTTAACGGATGTATTGAAAAGGTTCCCACGGTTCGATTTCAGTTTTTCAACCGTCATCACACGAACCGTGATGCCATCAAGTGTCTCGTTTCAGAGGCACAGATGGCTCTCAGTAGACCAAGAGTGCCATAACTGAGTATAAAGGCTACCGCTCGTCCCCGGGTCGACCTGACAGCTCTGCGGAGCGCACTGTCCCGCATAAGAATTCGAATCGATCTTATACAACTTTTGCTAAACCTTTTTCTGCGGTTGAGTTTGTGGGAATTATAGAGGAAGGCAGAGAGTAGTCCCTCTTGCGGGAGAGCTTCACGTACTGAAGCACGGTCTTGGTTTCAATTGAGATGTACCCTCTGGCGCCGGTGAAGATATTCGATCAAGAAACACAGGTTCTTTCGTAGTATGGCAGGATTAGGAACGGTGAAGAGACGACCAGGTACAATGACAGGCTACCCAGCGCTAGCGCTCCGTCGGCGTTCGACGAGGTAAGCCGGGGAGCGGCGTACGGCGTCGCGGCGCGTACGGCCAGTGGGACGAGGTGCAACGAACGCGGTGGGCCCGGGTTTGTGGTGGGGTTCGGGACGATTTCAATTGGATCTCAAACGGAACCACGTAAGTTGCGCAAGACTCGTTGTCGCACCGTCGTCGGTCGAGACACGAGCTGGTACTGATAGAGTACACCGTCTGTCTCCATAGAGACTACGAGGAAAAGGAGGGAGGTCGGAGGCTGCCGGCGATGACGAGGCATGACGCGCTGTCAACTCGGCCGCAAGTCCGGATCCAGGCCGCTCCAGACCGCTCCAGCCCCTTGCCCCGCTCCCAAGCCATGCTCTCACCACAACTCTAACCTTCGCCCCGTCGTTCCTGCGTATGCCCGGGGCCGCTCTGTCCCAGCTGCCCTGACGTTTTTTGCCTCGACTAGCTCCCCCGCGTGTGAGGTTCTGGAACGATGCCGCCAACTCGCATCTTCCATCAGCGTAGCTTTGCCGGGCTCCAATCCAGAAATTCTCACTCCACCCATCCAGAAACACTATTCTCATCGGCACCTGGCGCAACAAAACGTACCTCTTCGCCCACCGCACAAAAAAAACGCATCTACAATAACGCGCGCGAACGGCCTGGCCCCCGAATCGAACAGGCGTCTACTATTGGTCTACTGGACAGTTGCACCCGACGATGGTCCTGTGTTGAAGTCGTACTGGACGCGGCGGCGCACCAGGTACAACCAAGCCTTTCTTTGTCGGTCTGCGGCCGATCTTTGTGCTTTCTCGGACTGTCAAGTCTATATGTCGAGAGGTCGAAATAATTACCAAGCAACAAAAACTTCGTTGTTTTAGGAAACCCACGGCTCGACCCCGAGTCGAACGGGGGTGTCTGCTCAACGTATTCACAGAACACTGTTGCATAATGCGCAGACGCGCGCCACGCGCTACCGAGCCATTGCCATTGAACTCGTACGCAATTTATCTTCTATGCTCTCGGAGCAGTAGCTTTGCCGGGCTCCAATCCAGAAATTCTCACTCCACTCATCCAGAACCATTCCCGTGGGCACCTTGCGCAACAAAACGTACTGGATTCCTGTTCGCTGACCGCAGTGGTGCGCACACAAAAATGCGTTTGCAACCATACACGGCCCGGCCCAGAATCGAACAGGAATCTACTGGACAGTTGCTCCCGACATGGCTCCTGTGTTCAAGCCGTACTGTATCTGTATGCGAATGCCCTCCAAGTACAACCAAGCTTTTATTCGGTCTGTGGCGGATCTTTGTGCGTTCTGGGCTGGACTTGGCGCGCGCAACGGTGAAGCATGACTCGGACTCAAGTCTATCTCTGCATGGACTCAAGTGAGTATAGCATCAAGCACCAAAAAATGTCCTCTTACAGAGCCAGGGCTCGGCCCCGAGTCGAACGGGGGTATCTGCTCAACATGTTCGCAGGCCTGCGTCCTATCGTGCACAGACGCGCTCCACGCGCTACCAAGCCATGCCTGCTTAATTCAGAGGCAGTTGATCCTCATTCCGTCTCAATTATTTCTGAACCTCAAATTCAACGGCGGGGACCTTGATCCTGCAAAACAAGAAAAAGCTCATCTCGCGAGATACAACCATGGCTCGGCCCCGAGTCGAACGGGTTGTCTGCTGAACATCGTGGCTAGCTTCGCTCCTATGTTCCATGCGCTACCGAGCCATTGCCAACTTTTAGGCAGGTTATCCTTTGTCCTCTCAAGAAAACATCAACTGACGATAGTGGAACACCCCAGCACCAAATGCGTGCGCTCCGCTAGATACTAACCGCCGCTCTGGAATGCAATCACCTCTCGCGCTCGGGCTCTTCGGTGATGGGAAAGCAACACCCAGCAGGCAATAAAAAAAGAACATCACACACTCCACGGATGGCTCAGCCCTGGGTCGAACGAGTGATTTTGCTCTACGCATTTGGTATATGCTTCGCAGACGCGCTCCACGCGCTACCGAGCCATTGTCACTGAACCCGTACGCAAGTTATCTTCTGTCTTCTGAATGAGCAAACACCGCAAATGCAACAATTCAACCAGGATTCGTCCGCTCTGAAGCTGCTCGCCCTACTCCTTCGGGTGGCATTGGTTCCAAGCTGTCCCGCGATCGGGCTTCTTAGCGATGGGACAGCACGGAAGTACGGGCACCACGAAAAATATGGCATTACATGAACGTGAGTGCTCTCGTAGATATGAGGACCGAAAAAAACTCATTTGGCGTGGTATGACTATCTACGCCTCAGCCCCGAGTCGAACGGGCAACTCCACTGCATAAAAACTTCTTTGCTCATGGTATGTAGAGGCGCTCCGAGCGCAACCGAGCCTTTCTTGGGTGCATACTTCACCTTTCAGGTCGCAGACATGTGGCAAGCAAGCCACAGATCTAAGCTCGGGCTTTTCTCAGTGTTTTTCCTTTGGCCTATTGTGCTTCCAAAGCTGCCAGCGCGTACCACATGCAGTGACATCCTCCATTCTGAATCCTGATTCCCTCGCGCTGGCGTCTCTCTGCCATCCGGAACATCAATGCGGCACCACGCACCAAAAGAATGGTGTACCCATTTTGTCACACGGCTCGACCCCGAGTCGAACGAGGTTGTGTGCTTAATGAATCTGGATTCGCCGAATCGTACACAGACGCGCGCCACGCGCTACCGAGCCGTCAATTGCCAACGAACTCGTAGGCCTGTCTCCAAGTTCTCCGAACAGCAAACGCCGCAAATGCAACATAAGGAACATAAGGCACCAAGAATCCTTCGCTCGGAGATGTCCACCACTGCTCCCTCCAGAGCCGGAATGGCAGAAAAGCACGCCCAGGCCGAATAAAAAATACAGTTCGCGATGTCATGGCTCAGCCCCGAATCGAACGGGGAAATCTGCTTAACACAACCCAGCTCGACATAAACCATGCTGTGCAGATGCGCTCCGAGTGCTACCAAGCCTTTCTCCTCATCCCTTATGCCATCCGTCCTGGCGTTCTTTCGGCTCCAGATATGCGCTGGATAAAGGGCTGCGTACAACGCTCGGAAATCGGCGCTCCAAATTATCTGCCTGGTTAGTGGCATCCTCCTTATAACATGACACGGCCTTGACATGAACCCAAAAGAACGAGAAAAAGGAAAGGAATGGTGTCCACACGGCTCAGCCCCGAATCGAACGGGTGATTCTGCGGAAATTATATCTGCTTGAACACTACATCTTTGACGCAGACGCGCGCCACGCGCTACCGAGCCACGACCCGTTAATCCATAGGTGACCCATCCTCCCGTCTTTGAATCCTTTTGACGCCATATTCCAACGCTGAACACCAGATGGCGATCTTGCAGCAAACTCTATGTCAAAAAAAAGAAAAAAAGAACAATGCATCGGTTTCGGTCGGCTTGCATCGGATTCCCCGCGCTCGAACCCTACTCGCCAGACAAAGAAGGCGCCGCTATAAAAAAAAAAGAAGGTGGCGGTTATCGCATGGCTCAGCCCCGAGTCGAACGGGCAACCCCACACTGAACAGAAGTTCTTGCGCTACGATGTGCGTGGGGCGCTCCGAGCGCAACCGAGCCTTTCTCCGGCTGCGTGGTACGCGGCTTATCTTCGTTCGTTCTTGGGGTCCGCAACGAAACAACAACTTCGGCTTCGGACACAAGTTCGCCCAGCCTTGAAAATTCATCCAGTTACGCTTGGCGCTTCTTCGATGCGTATCTTCTTGGAGGATTTATCTGGGTTGTCTGTTCTCCGCCGTCGGTAAAAAACGCGCCTATACCGAATTCACGGCTCAGTCCCGAGTCGAACGGCAACACTAGTGGAAGCTGCGGACTTGTACATCATGTGTAGAGGCGCTCCAAGCGCAACTGGGCCTTTCCTGGGTGAATGGTCGGTGGCCTATCTTCGGTCGTTCTGGGGTTTCCAGAATACAAACAGGAAGTCAACTGTCACCGATTCAAGGAAAAGATCCGTCCCACTGGCCCCTCTGCAGATCGAATACGCCTGGCAGGGAAGGATATACTGTAAGTGTCCGGCACCAAAAAAACTCGGTCTTCAAGAGGCGACGGCTCGACCCCCCCGAGTCGAACGGGGTGTCTGCTCGGCACATTGTCAAGATGTTGTGTAATTGTGCACAGACGCGCTCCGCGCGCTACCGAGCTATTGTTGTACGCAAGTTATCTCTGTCTTCTCAAACACCGTACGTTGTGAAAAGTGAAACAACTCACCGCAAAATTCGTCCGCTCGTCTTACACTGCTGCTTCCCCTAGATGCTGGATGTGTTGCTTCCAAGCTCTCTCGCGCTCGGGCTCTTCGCTGACGGGCAAAGCGCGCATAGGAAGCAAAAAAAAAGACACGTGGTATCAGTGACCGATGGCTCAGCCCCGAGTCGAACGGGGTTGTGTCTGCTCAACACATTGGGCGGGTATTGGTGAACCGTGCACAGACGCGCTCCGTGCGCTACCGAGCCATTGCCAATGAACTCGTCGGCAACTTATCTTCTGTCTTTCTTGGCAACACCAAACCTTGTCACAGTGGAACACCTCAACACACAAGTTCGTGGGCTCTGAAGCTGAAGCTACTAACTACCGCGCTCGAATGTCATTGCCTCCGATCTCCCTGGCGCTCGGGCTCTTCTGTTCGGATAGCAAAGCACGCATAAGGCAGCCAAAAAAAAAAATCTCATCACACACTTCCTGAATGGTAGAATTGCTCAGCCCCGAGTCGAACGGGTGGACACTGCGGAAATTGGTTCCCATGGAAAGACTCAACCTATTCTGTGTAGACGCACTCCGCGCGCTACCGAGCCATAGCTTGTCAATACGTAGGCATATTATCCTCGTATCCTCGCTTGTTTTCGATATGCTCCCCACAGGACAAATCGAGAGAGGAATACTCCAACCGATGGTTGACTACAGTGTCTGCTTCAGTAATGAGACTTAACATCGTACGAACTAAGCTCGAAGAAGTTCCCACGGTTTGATTTTAATTTTCAACCGCCATCATGCGAACCGCGATGCCATCAAGTGCTTCGCTTTAAACACAAAGATTGCTCCCAGTAGACCAAGAGTGCTAGGACTAACTAGAAAGGCTACGGGTTGTCCCCGAGTCGACCTTGCAGCCTGCGGAATGCATTGTCCCGCCTACGTATCACACATCGAATGACAAGCCGCTCCGGGAGCGCAATCCAGCCGAAAAGGCTGCGACTCGTTCTTGCCGTTTGGATCGACAACGTTCCGGATTATAATCCCATAGCTCCACTGAATTTTGAAAGGGATGGGATGGAGCTATTTTCACCACGAAACTGTGGTGAGAAATGAGCAAACGGGTCTCAATGGGTCAACAACCCATCAGTTCACTACACGATTCTGGCTGTGAATGTGGAGATAAATAAATAACATCATACTTGCTGAGCTCCTAGTCTCTCGTAAACAGCCGCTGTAACGACAGTTTTGTACCTCTACCAGTCCATCGTACCTCTAGCAGCCCCTCACTATGCTTCTTCCATCTCCTCCGCCTCAGTCTTCTCCGCCTCGGTGACTTCCGCTTCGTCTGAGCTCGCCTGCGAACTCACATCCGAATGGCTATCGCCATCAGTTTCGGAGTCGTTACTCCTCACCGAGTTCGGGGGCCCGGGTCGTCGGAGTCGCGGTCGCCAATGGGTGTTATAGAGGGCGGATCTGGGCGAAGAGCAGCTCGTCAGAAGGGAGTGGAGAGTGGAATGATCGGCCGGGAAGAGTCGTCGGGGGTGGACGCGCCCCAAAAGTAACCCTCATCGGACTCGCCCCCCGGGCTGGGTGGAGAGAATGGTGTTGGATACGCCGCTGCGGCATTTGAAACGCGACTGGGAGGAAGAAGTGGCCGGGTGGGCGTAGTACTAGGACGACGAGCTGGGCGAGAAGGCTTGGTGTCGTGGGCGGGGCTCACGAAATTAAGTGGGAGAGGGTCCAT